GTATTTTCTTCGCTCAAAAATAAACGAGCCTCATATAATGTGCATAATATAAGGCATGGTATGTGCACCATGTGATGAATGATAATACACTTAGTTGGTGTGCACATTGTGATACGCCAGACCTAACAATATAGATCTTATTGTTTTAGTGGGTTCACAATATGATTTCAGTATGTTAATTATTTTAAACTTTATTGTTTTATTTTGTGCTTTCGCTATATTCATTGTTTGAAATCTTTGTAGTTTTAGTTTGTTCACATTGTGCACATAACTTGATAGTCAGATCAATGGTTTGGATTGTAACGAAATGAGTAGAGGGGAGAAAAAAATGTTCCTACAATTTAGAGGATGCCAGCGTGACATATATTTATAATAATTGACTTTCCTAAAAAAGTGGGTTGACTTTCCTAAAAAAGTCAAATAAGTGAACTAGAATAAATCTTATAGATCGCATAATTTCTGCAGGTCTTAATGATTAATAGTAAGAGTAAATTATGGGTTTGATCCACAAGGTTTAGTAAAATATAAAATGGAATCTAAAATATGATTGGACAATTTTACCCATGGTTTTAACGGATAATTAGACAGAGTTAGTGGTCAAGGTCCACAAAGTATTATTGTATCGTTTTTTCTTACGTCAAGTAGTAGCCAACCTTTGTCGTGATCATAATTGAAACGGTATTCTTTCACATGTTTTCACATATTAAATATATGGATATGAGCGTAATTCGCCTCTTAAAGTTTGTCGATCATTCATTTGACTATTACACGTGATGTTAACTGTAGGATTTTCGTCATCAACGACCAGGTTTTAGAAGAAAAAAATACTTTCGCGAATTAAGTAACGGTGTTAGCATGTTAGGGCCTCCTAAGGTCAAAGTTAAAACCAATGTTGACGTCGTACATTGTTGCTACTTCGACAAAGGTATCAAGAAATCCTTGTCTCCTCTAGAAACCTTTCAAGATTATGTTTAAAAAGGTCATTAGAGGTTTTTCGGATAAACTTGTTATACCTGACTATTAAACTTGCATTTCAGTAACCTTATTGCTGATCATAAAAACAACGTACTTTTCAGTTTCCAAATAAAAACAACGTACTTTTCAGTTTCCAACTCCATGTCACACGAGGGAAGATTGAAAATGAACAAATAAGGGCTATTTTACCATCAATGTTGTTGGTACACCCAAGTTCGTCTAAATCTTTTTGGAGGTTATGTTACATCCATACTAAAATGATAAATCGATTGAAACGAGTAATAAACAAAATAAAATATAAAATTCATATCATATAAAAAATTACAAAATTAAAACAATAACCATGTATAAAATGACAAAGTGAGAAGAATATCAAATCATCTTTTTATCAGAGAATTCTGCAATTAAATAACCGTTTTTTATTTTGGAAGATGAGTTCATACAACCTTTTAGAGAAGAGTTTAATATAACTATTAAATCAAACATTTCTTAAAACTTTAAATCTATACTATCTTATAAAGCATTTGGCTAAAACTCTTAAAAACTCTTAAACCTGTTCATCCCTAAACGATTCCATCCCTATCTGATTTCATCCCATATCTAAATTCATGTAACTAACTGCAGATAATAAAACCAATGTTTACTTAAAATTCAAGATTACAAGTAAATTATGCAAAAGTACAACTTATCAAAGCTCGATTTTTTAATTCATATAACTAACTACGGATAAACATAATCAAATAGAGGATAAATATCTTATTTTAAAATATAATTAGAATAATTATCGAGTTCCAACAAAATAATTAATTATTATCTTTATAAGAAAATTATATTATTAACCAAATATAAATTAGTTCGTTATTGTACCTAAATTAAATTAATAAAAAAATTGAATTAAAAAATTACACAAAAAATGAGGAATTTTAAATAGTTAATTTGATACAAATATCGATATATTTTTGTTATGCATAAAGTACTGTATATTGATGCATATTACTTAAAATTCAAGATTACAAGTAATTATGCATAAGTACAATTTATTAAAGCTCGCTGCTTGAATTCGTATAAATAACTGCGGATAAACATAATCAAATGGAGGATGAACATCTTATTTTAAAATATAAAAAATCTAAAATATAATTAGAATAATTATCGAATTCCAACAAAATAAATAATTATTATCTTTATAAAAAAATTATATTATTAAACCAAATACAAATTACTTCGTTATTATACATAAATTAAATTATAAAAAAATGAATGAAAAAATTACACAAAAAAATGAGGAATTTCAAATAGTTAATTTGATACTAATATCGATATATTTTTGTCAAATTTTTATGATATCTTCAAACATATATTTTATTCAAAAATAAAAACATCACCGCTTTCTYAAAATCACAGAAAGCCATATTATAACATCGACTGAGATAAATAATAAAATGAAATATTAAAATCACGATTTATCTCACTACATTATACGAGTACACTTCTAATTTTAATAATATAATTGTCGAAAATGCTCAGCATCAAATTTAAAATTAATATGTAACACAGGAACCAAACATGTAATTTATTAAAAATTAATTAATATTTAATATCTTTAAAAAAATTAAATCTTATCCACATACCACAGCTTAAGCACAAGGGAAAAGACGTGCAGCCGCAACAACTGTTACCGTCATGGAAAAATGGACAAGACGACGAAACTCGACGCCGTTCCGGACTGCCTTCCCTTTCCTCCTTGTGAAATTATATATGTATATATATAATATTCTTTTTTAATATTACGTAATATTCTTTTACTTTTTATTAAATTTTATATAGATAAAATACATAGTAGATTACTTTGTTTATATAAATTCAAAAACTTTTTGTTTAGTATGGTTTTTTCATAAATGAAATCATATGTTTTTTTAATTGGTACGAATATGTTTGAAAAAAAATACCGAGTTTTTTTAATAAATCACTACGAAAAAGAGTCATGTATAGGTGGTCGAATAAATAGTGAGTCTCATTAAGGTGCTAACAAACAAGCCCTTAGAGGAAAATATGATTTTAATCGTTATTTTAATGTTAAAATCAAGATTCTAGATAGCGTAAGACATTGTATAATAGCCAGGACTGGTCCTAAGATTTTTGATGCTCTGTGCGAAAATAATAAAAAATGTCCCTAAGCCTATTTTGTTAAGTCAACGAAACAATGCGATTTTTTAAAAGAGTTTAGAACCTATTCAAGTTAAGTGTCTTATTCCCATGTTGATTTTTATTAATTAAAAATAATAATGGAGGCGATATAAAAATCAAAATCCCGAATACAAAATATAGAATGATAAAAGGATAAATCCTAGATTAAGATCGTGCTTCATTCTTTTCCAKTTTTCCCTTTTCTAAATTGAAATTAGCAAAATAGAAACTTTGTTTCAATATATAGGACTTAAAAGACAATGAAAACTATAATTAGTTTTTAACTAAAATAGTAAATTACATCCAAATTACCGTCATAATAAGCAAAAAGTAAAACTCAAAAGTTACAGGATTAACGACTACAGGCTAAGGGTTTATCTATTAGCAGCTTAATAAGCTTAATAGAACTAACAACTTATTCGCTCAACTATGCATGACTTTTTCGTAGTAGCTTAATGATATAGAAAGTAACTTATCCAATGATCTTTTAGGGGAGCTTTATATAGAAAGTCAATTTTTTTTCTTTCAAACATGTCCATTCAAACTGAAAAAACGTTTCTTACATCTGCGAAAAAACTCTCCAAAACAAAAAAAATTTCCAACTTGTACAAACAAATTAATTCATACAGACAACTTTATTCATATAAAACTTAATAAAAAAACCAATCAAACGACCCATAAATCTAATGTGGTAATGCCAAACCTCAAAGTAAACAAAAGTCAAAAGAACAATAATAAATTGTAAACTTCATAATCTATGTTACTGTGCATTGCAAAGAACAAGTGCGCAGTAATTAAGACAATATCACAATATGTTGTTAATGTTGTGCAGTGTGCTCCAGCTATGTTGATAGAGTAATGTGCTCATGTGCATTGAAAAATGCAATTCTCAGATATTTCAATATGTAAGAGGAATACTCATTATCAAAATGACAAAAGCCTCTTAGCCTTAGCCTAGTAGGTCAGTAACCCACATGACCACATGACCCAACTTTATAATAATCAGTTAGAAATTTAGTTTTTTTTTTTTTTGCAAGAAGATTTAAAGATTCATAAATCATAATATGACTCACACAGCAACTCGGTAAGTTCAATCAACAGTAGAAGTCAGTCATTTGAGATTTCCATCTTTGATTTCTTGAATCTCATTTCATGACCGTTAATCGGCTGAAAAAAGAACTTCATGCCTTGAAGAACAATAAAAATTAGATTGAGTTGTTGGAATGAAGGCGTTAGCCGGCTAACGATATGCATTCAATATTCATAACTACTAGGTCTTGGGCATATTTTTATAGTTAAAAGCTCAGTTGTATTTTCCAAATTATTAAACCCAAAACTAGTAATAAATAACAACTTGATGTACTTTAGGCTTTGATGCACTGTACGGCCGCACGGGTTACACGTAACCAGGGCCGGCCCTGATAATAGCCAAACGTCAAACCTTAAAAGTTACGACAAAATCATGACATTTATTAAGGTATGACATTATACCGACAACTATAGGTATCAAAATACATAAAATTAAAAGGAATATATGTATTTATGTCCATCCAAAGTAAAATCGTTTGACGAGATGTTGACGCAGACTTTACACGAGTAATTCGTGATAAAAAAAATCTTGAAATATATATAAAAAATGTTGATTTTGATGACGGAATAACATGATATCGATATTTTCAACTAATATTGCTGACTATTCACGTCCCCGAAAGACACTTTACAGGTTCCCCTTGGGCCCACAATCCGATAAGAACGCTAACGCTGACGACTTCCTTCCTCTAAAACCCTAGACGCATTTTCTTTCTTTTCTCCAAATCACCTTCAATTCTTTATATTTAGATTCCATTCAACTCCAGTTCTCCATTCCAACACACAACGGACCCTTAATTCTTGCCGGAAATTATCTCATGACAATCCAAGCAGAAACCCACCAAATCAAGAAACACAGTAAACACCCATCAAGAAAGCATAGCAAGAAGAAAGATAGTGTTACTGTTGCTGTAAATGAGAAATCCCCTTTGATTCCTAAGAAGAAAGGTGATCACTTCAATGGGGCGTCGAAGTCGGGGGCAGTCATGAATCTATCCACCACCATCATCGGTGCCGGAATAATGGCGCTGCCAGCCACTATGAAGGTCTTGGGACTTGCTCTTGGCATCGCGGCTATAATTCTGGTCGCAGTTTTATCGGAGGCCACCGTCAGAATCTTGCTCAAATATAGTAGAGGTGGTGGAACAGATTCTTATGGAAGTTTGATGGGCGATGCCTTTGGAGAAGTCGGCAAGAAGGTCCTGCAAGCTTGTGTGGTCATCAATAACCTTGGTGTTCTTGTTATCTACATGATTATAATTGGTAATGCAACGTTCTTGATTGATCAATTATATTCCTTAGTTTTGAAAATTATGTGTTGACTGATTTTATGTTGTTTGAGTTGGGAAGGTGATGTTGTGGCTGGGTCATCTTCAAATGGGTTGCACCACCCTGGTCTGTTGGAAGGCTGGTTCGGACCACACTGGTGGAATGGCAGAGTCTTTGTTCTTTTGGTCACAACCGTTGGTGTTTTTGTTCCACTGGCATCTCTTAAGCGAATGGGTATGTGTTTCTTGTGGGAGGTTAGGGGAAAATCCAAAAAATATGAAAAATTGGGAAACATTCAGGTAACCGTTCATACGCACTAACGCACATGTGCATACAAGTGTTTGGTTTATATGCATATACATACCGGACAAATTGCTAACAAATTACTTGTATGTACATGTATAGACCGTCCAGAGATGAATGGTTATCAAGGTGTTCTTTGGTTTTTCATTTTTTTTATGGTTTTTCATTTTTTCATGGTTTTTCATGAACTTGACCCTGCTTTTCTTTACACAAACATACAGCCATTGATGGTTTCGAGTTGGTTTTTACAGAATCTCTGTTTATTTGCAGATTCACTGAGTGTTACATCCGGCTTAGCCGTGGCACTAGCCGTGGTTTTCCTTATCATCACTGCAGGAATAGCGACATTTAAAATCGCAAGTGGTAGCCTCCCGATGCCGAGATTGCTTCCCGAGATCATAGATATTAACTCTATCTGGAACCTCTTCACTGCAGTTCCTGTTCTTGTTACTGCTTATATCTGCCACTTTAACGGTATGCCAATATGCCACGCGACCAAATGATGCATGTTGATCAAATGCTTCACATGTGAATAATTGAACATTTTTCTTTCATGGGCAGTGCATTCTATTGGAAATGAGCTTGAAGACCCTTCATTCATCGAACCAATTGTTCAGATTTCGTTGGTTTTATGTACAATCGTGTACATAATGACTAGTTTCTTTGGATTTGTGCTTTTTGGTGATGCCACAATGGGAGATATATTGTCGAATTTCGACTCTGATCTGGGTGTTCCTTATAGTGCTGAGCTTAATGATGTTGTTCGTATAAGCTATGCTCTGCATCTCATGCTCGTTTTCCCGCTTGTATTCTATGCGCTACGTCTTAATACAGATGGCCTTTTCTTTCCATCAACTCAGCTGCCGCTAGAATCAGACAACAAGCGGTTTGCTTTCATCAGTGTAGGGCTTCTTTCGCTTGTATATTTGGGTGCTAATTTTATACCAAGTGCTTGGGATGCTTTCCAGTTCACAGGAGCAACTGCTGCTGTTTGCATTGGGTTCATCTTCCCAGCTGCAATTGCAATAAGGTATGCATTCATTCATCCATCCATCTTGCAACCTCCTCCAAGAAGAGTTAATTCATTAATGAATAATGATCTTTTTCTTCAGGGATACTCATGGAATAGCTACAAAAGGAGACAAGATCTTGGCCGTGTTAATGATCGGTTTGGCCGTCTTTGCAAATGCAGTGGCTATATATAGCGATGCGTATGCCTTGTTCAAGAAAAATCCATCTCCTCGTGCTTGATTTGTCGGGCCTTATGAGCAAGTTTGTATAAATGAATGTGTGCTTTTTTAAGTGTTAAAAGGGAAATCATTTGAACTCAAATCTGTAATATAAATTGATATTTGTTCCCACATGAGACTCAAAAAGTCACTATAACGCTATACCATTCTCTCTCTTTATTATTAGCTCATACTATTTGATGAACAATTGGACCAAAAACACTAAAACTTAATCCTCAATAAATAGAAATCATTAGTTACAAATAACAGGACCAATTTGAGGCTCGAATGCACTCATCATTGTCATCGGTCGCCAGCAGAATTCAAGCCTTGATCAGTAGTGGCTTCTCTTGATTAGCTCAAAGTAGAACACGCATGAGATGTCAGCAAATTTACAGAGGTGTGCAAGGATCAGTTGGAACCGAGGGTCCAAAAAGGTATGAAATTGAGAACTTTGTGCACTTCGATGGGCGCCCATTGTCACACCATAAAGCCAGATGATCAGAACAACAAATTGGTAGCCATGAAGAATGTGGTTAGAGTCTTAATTGAAGAAATATGGGGACTTCAAAACCTCCTTTAGATCAAAATCTCCCCTCTCTGGCAATGGAGGGAATTCCAGCTTCGGGAACGACTTCTGGAAACTCTCCAACAACTGTTACGAAACCAATCCTCAACATATGCTAATATAAAAGCCAAGCAACATAGTGGAAGACACTCTCAAAAAGTACTTACATTTTCTAGGATCGGAGCCTCATAAAGTTCCACAAACTTTTCTCTAAGAATCGTGTTCATCTGGTCAACGTCACACGCATGAGTCCAAAATGAATCATGCACTCCTGCAATTAGATAATTAGTAGCATAATTAGTGTCGTTCTTAACTTAATAAAACACGTGGTGTGCACATGCGAGCGATCCGAGGAAAATAGAAAACCTGCAAAACTTAAGCCGGCTTCTTTACAAGCAATGGCTGTCATCATCATATGGGAGCCATCAAGAGAGTGGACAAAATTAGGAGGAAATGCAGTTCTCTGCCGCTTAACCATCACCTGTAGCAAACAAGAAAACAACTAAGGCTATGATCGGCAAACTAGTTGATAAGCTAGTTGTTAGCTAAAAAGGCTAGGGCCTGTTTGTTAGCAGCTTAATGAGCTTAATGGGACTCGTAGCTTATTGGTTCAGCTATACATAGCTGTTTGGTAGCGGCTTAATGATATAGAAAGTGACTTATTCGGTAAGCTTGTAGGGGGAAGCTTTATGCAGAAAGCCAAGATTTTCTGAACCTGTCCCTCCCAATTAAAAACACGCTCTTTCCATCTACGAAAAAACCCTCCAAACAAAAACCTTCCCAATCCATAGAGACAGATTAATCCAGACAGACAACTTTATCCAAACAGGACTTGATAAAAAACCAACCAAGCATCCCCTAGGTGTTGACTATAATAAGCTAGCTGTTATCCCCTAGGTGTTGACTATATAGTCATGTTTGATAATAACTAGCTGATAAGTCCGATGACAATCTTATATGATTGCTAAGAATGGGAAGGGAGGTACCTTATCGGTTTCTCGCTGTAGTGTCAAAACTTGAAGAGATGTCTTGATCTACATTCCAAAGAACAAAAAATTTGGTTCATATCAGCAAAAATATAATCCAAATACTCAAAATATCGAGGCTTGCCATCTAAAGAACTCACAAGGTGCCTTCCTAATTTGCGGTAGGGCTGTACAACGGGAAGACCAAGAGGAGTCGTCCATTGTACTGCATGGTTTTTCATAGCTACAACCTGTAAATAATTTCAGAATCAGTGAATGCCAACGCATTCATAAACCAAAAGATAATTAAAATACAAAATGAACGTGAAGAAACCATGAATATGATAACATATACCTTTGCACAATCACCAAGCCAACTCATAATACTTCGTGCAGCTTCAAACATCTCCCCCAAAGCAGTTAACGTGGTCTGCAGAACAAAAAGTATTCACAATGAATAGTCATTCAAGTTATAAACTTGAATTGAATATCAGACTGTGCAGGGTCCATATTTACTTACTTTTGCAGCATAACAAGCAGCAGCAAACAATTCTGCATCATCTTCGATGGCACAACGTTCCTTTAACCTTCTCTTGATTTGGTCACGAGCACCAATATATGTGACACCATACACTGAGGTCATCACCGTTTGCTTGACCAACTTCCTATCCACCTGAGCATGCCATTTGTGAAGGTAACATATCACAACACATATATTAGTTGATATTAGTTGAGTGTGTGCGCTAGAGAGAGTTTTCGAGTTAAAAATAATCAAAAGAAATTGGTTCTCATGTTCCTTGCAAAAAAACCAGAAAGCAAAGGCAACCAAGAGGTCAAAATGCTTGCATCATCATATTGGCTAACGAGAAAATGCTTGCATCTTATCGTTGAATAAAATGTTTCAAAAAATTAAACAAGAATTAATCGATTTTTTCTCAACTTGCTTTAATCAACCTTTGTGAATTTGGAAGGAATATTTTCACATGTGCGTACAAATATAGATCTGTATATATATATATATATATAGAGAGAGAGAGAGAGAGAGACCAAAATCACCAAATAACGCACATTCTAACTCAGAAGTCGTAAAAAGTTTCCCAGGGTGAAAAAATGAATTACCTGATTAACTAACATCCGCGCATGCTTAGCATTTGAATCGGTTATGGGGTCTCCCTTAGCATCTCTCTGCATGATCTCAATCACTCTAGTGGCAAAAGATTTCCAATATCAATATAGACCTCAAAATGATGTAAATCTATTTACATTTTTATGTGAATCTCTAACCAACCCAACTTACATTAGAAGCATCAGTTTCCCAAAAAAAAGGGTAGAAGAAGCTTGACATCCAAATTTAGAAAGTGAAAACTTATTATGGGATGGAGAGGAGGATTAATTATTTGAAAATAATAAAAGTGTGCATGTTACGTTACAACCAGAAAATGCCATAAGCAAGCAAAATCTATGATATTAATCACCCCCGAGCTTTTTCCTCATAAAACTGAATACAATATAAGGCAGTGACTTCGTGATTGATTAACAGAAAATTAGAAATGCACTAACATAATTGCTTAAAGCTAACCTCGAAGCAATCCCAGAGTAGACATCAGCTGGCTTTTCTCCTTCAACCAGATTAACAGCACTTGCTCCTAACTGAATAAGTGGAAAAATCACTTGTAAGCATAGGATCCGACTTAAATATTAAGTTCCTTATTTAAGAAGAGAACCAGTAAAAATTCAGAAATAATCAATAGAGCTTCTGTTTTTGTAAGCCAGGGGTCTTCACAAAAACAACCTCTCTACCCTCCAATGTAGAGGCAAGGTCTGCATACATCCTACCCCCAAACCCTACCTCCGTGTAGGATATATTGGGTTTGTTTGGTTTAAAATACGGATAAAATTTAAAGGTAATAATTGATGAACTTTATGAGATCTTGAATGAATAACATCTTCAAATGAATTAAAGGAATGATAGTATGTACATATATTTTTTCCGTACAGGATCACATAAATCATATGAGCAAGAGAGAAGACATTACCTTGTCCCTTCCAAGTGCAGCGTAATGTTGTAAGCCATTACATGAACCATCCTAAAAGATTCCAAACAACAGATTTCCAATTTAGATTAGGTAAACAAATACATGCCCTGCTCTACATAACATGATAACCTATCAAGACTCAAGAGGGGTAGATCCAACTCAAGGGATTCTTAGGGTGCGTTTGGTAGAAAGACAGGACATGACAGGATTAGGCAGGCGAGAGCGAAGTAGGCCGGTGAAAGAATTGTGGAAGGTTTTAGGGTTTTAATTTGACATGGGTGATATAGTAATCTACCAATCCTGGGCCATATCTCCCTGATTTTTCCTCCACCTATTTTGGTGGGACAAAAAAATGCATTTTTGTCACACTTAGGTCCTGTCTTGTCCCAGTCTAATGTCGCACCATTTATGGGCCAGCAAGTTTTTATACTGTTTTGTCCCTTCCTATCCCGCATACTGAACACACCCATAAAGATCTTTTTTCAGCCACCTTCTTGATGTCATCTTGTAAGAATGGAAAGAAATATTTTTGTAGCATTTTGCTTAAAGTAGTACCTGGTGGATAGGCATATAAGATATGGAAGTCTCTGGGGAAGAGCTTCTTAGCGCTTCAGACAGGTTCATGCATGTGGCCAAGCATTGAAAAGGATCTTCTGCACGCAACCACCAGCGCTTTCCTTCAAGAGGTCGATCTGAAGAATCAAAGATTTCGTCCAAATGCTTTTCGGCAAATGCCATTCGACCCTCGTGAGATAACTTGTCCACACCACCACCATAAACATTTGCTAAATGTATCTTCAGCCATCGTAAGCCTGATTCTCCAAGAGGTCGTCCCTCGGCAAACTCAAGGATGCCTCGACATAAGTCAGAGCCCAAGTGATTCAAATATGGGTGCATAGGGTAGGCACGACCACGAAAATCAAGATTGTGGGGGTAGTAGAAACCTTCCTCGTCCTTCATTTTTCGAGCAACCTTTTCTTGAAGTAGACAAATTAGAATGTGGTTTGATTGGAACTTTTACACAAAATAAAATATATTTATATACAAAGAAGCCTCTTACAGCAAGTTTCAGTTCAATATCACATCGCTGTGAATGCCTCTCTCTGTTTTCTTTTTTAATGCTCTTAACTTTCCATTTCCATTTTCTAATTTCATCTTCATCATCTGTATCTGGCTCTTCAGGTAGTGGAATCTGTGAGACACAGCAGTTAGGAAAAGCACTCATGAATCAAGTAAAAACATAAAATCCATTGATTTCGAGTATCTTTATGAGAAAAAAGCAAGTTCTAAATTCTCTAAATTGGATTCTAAAATATGATTGCAAACTGATGAGATTTCGGTACTCGTAAGTAACTCACATCATCACGGTCCACCAAATCGGCTAGACGCCCTCCACTAGCCCAGATTCTATCTACGACACCAAGGACTTTTCTATTTACCCTCCATTTTGTAGCACCAAGAGTATTAAGCGCCTGAAACAAATAAATTGAAAATTGAGATTAATGGAAGTGCGGAGAGAGAGAAAGAGAAGAAAGAGAACTTTAACCAATCATTGCAATAGCTCGTTTTTCAAAGATGTGTTAACACCGTTGTGACACAAACAAACACAAAGAGGTAAATCAAAAGGTTCACCCACCCCAAAAACAGCTTCCAGTTGCTTCTTTGGAGTCCGTTTAACTATATCACGCTGTTGTTTTGCTCCATGTGTGCGCATTATATAGGATGGTAGAAAGAAGTAGGCTCCTCGGTTGTAACTGCCAAAGAGAAGACATAAATCAAGCCTCATATCAAAGTCTAGAAACCAAAAATAACAAAAAAGATCAAACCAAAAATGCATACCCGGTCCAATTTACTGGGGGAAGAAGCATTGGCATATACGGAATCACCATGTGCATAGCCTGATTTTAAGATCCAAATTACAACAGTCTTAATACTACACAACAGATAAATGTCCAAGAAACAGTTGTTTTCAAGCAAGAAATGCATAAGCAAAACGTCTACAATTTTATTAGCAGTAAACATGTAAAACTTACACTTTTCTCAAGTCCTTTCCGCACTAGGGGATCACATTCAATAACTCCATATCGTCTACTGCCTTTCCTATATATATACAAGATTGAGGATCAGCAACAAGTGATGAAATTAAGAGAAATATTTGATGAGAATATACGAGGCCATACTTACGGTGTTTCCACAGTTTTGAGAGTATGTACAAATGCAGGCCGAATATCAGGAGAGCAATCTTCAAATTGACCAACAGGAGGTTGTATATAGGCAGTCTCCATCAACAACTGGATTAAACGTGAGCCAACCTGGGAAGAGCGGACATTAACTGTAGTTAGTTGAATCAAGAAAAATAAGAATTGCTCGTTGAAAATTATCACAACTACGTGTTTTGCCAACAGGGTACAAACCTTAACTTGAGCATCCTGGCCCCAAGGCTTCAATTCATCTTGTTGTTTTACAATATGCCTTACTTGCTGCAACTTCTTCTTTTTAACTAAAAGAGTTACCTTTTTCCTCAATTTCTGTATCTGCTGCTCATTATTTACAGCTTCCAAATCATCATCAGGGCTCTCGTTTAATGTAGTCTTTCGCTTAGACTTCTCCATGAATCTGTGTATTCTTGCCTGATTCATGGCAAAAAGAACGACAGGTAAGTCCTTGTATGTCACAAACGATAATAAAGGTACAACATTTTCAGTCCTTCATCTAAAGCCCATCTCTAGTATACGTCCATTACCCCCTCCACCCATCAAACCACCCTTAACTTTTTCTATTGAAAGATTCTAAATTGTGCAACTAGAGGCAGATTTCAAAATCCTGACTGCGCCTATTAATTGAAAAGCAATTAAGAAAATCTCATCATCTTATCATGTGGGCATAATGCATAGAGTATAGAAAAGGATTAAGAATCCTTCTATAAACCAAAGTAAAGTCACAATACAGCATTAAATGCTTTTTAACCTATATTTTAGACGTACATGTGTTTTTCTTAAGAAGACAAATAAGAGTGACAATAACAATTCAACAGCAGTAAACTAATAGGGGGCAACACCACAATAGTTCGGTTGAGAAAGGTTGCTAGTGTATTAACAAAAAGACTTCAAAAACAAATAACATATATATGTTCTATTGATGTCAATCATGTCATAGATTAGGATTGAGATTGAAGAGTTGATTGGTGAAATCCATAGCTGTTGTATTCGTGTAAGGACATGTGGAACCCCTTTGTACTCTCTCTAATATATCCCTTATAAGCACATAGGATCCAGTAAATCCAAAAGCATAAGAATACACTATTATATATATAAAAGTTAAGTAAGAGTATGAACCAGCTAACCTCATGCTCAATGGCTTCACCAATATGGAGCGCTGCCTGAACCACTCTGGCACCACCCTGTCCTCCTCCAGTCATCAACAGACCCATCAACTTGTGCATTGTGATTATTGTCATCATATCAGCAGGCAACTGATCAAACTGTGGAGCATAAGCCCCTCGATTCTTCCCTTCCTTACATAAATCCTGCTCAGCAGCAATAGCATTCTTCAATGGCTCAAACCAACCAAGAAACAACGATTTCACATAAGGCAAATTGGGAGCAAGTTTCTGCTCACACATATCCACTAAAAGTTCTTGATACTCTCTTGCAGCAGCCTCCCATGCCTCTGTCTCTATCTTTATCTGCCTTCTCTTGAGTGCAATGTACTTCCCTTGCCCAATTCCATTAATTAATTTTGGCTGCTTCTTGCTATCTGAATTATTATTAGCTTTCATTTTCACCACCTTGATCTCCTTATTCAAATGGTGTACCATTTCACGAATTTCATCACTCTCTTCTCCTTCAGTTGAAACAATCTCCTCAGCTGCAGACGAAGTAGCATAGCCCTTACGAGATACATGTAATGAACCAAAAGAAACCCCTAAATTTGCTAAACTAGAATCACCAAGATTGTCTTTTTGAGAACCCAATCCACTGATTCGTCGAAAACCCAAATCTCCATATGAAAGATTTCGATAAGGGTAGAGTTCTAACAGTCTAGCTTTTTCAAGAAACTGGGTATCTCTAAAATTAGATTTATTAGCAAATGCTATCAGCTTCTTGACAGAAGCTCGGTTACAAACGTTTCTCCACATGCTAAAGTGGAGTTATTTATAAAATACTTGGAGAAAAATTAATGGGTTTGTGGCTATATACACGGTTTGACACAACAAGCAGAGAGATAGATCGAAGTAATACCAGGATCTCATAGAAACTCTGTGGTTGATGGGCGTTGAAACATAGATATCAAACAAATGGTAGGGATGGAGTGAATCAAGAATGAAGATGAAAGAATGAGGCGGAATTCCAGGGTCTGTGTAGGAGGAGGTAACTGATGAAGCGTGGCCGCCTTAAACCCTTGCTAAACCTATTTTTGTTTTAGTCCTCCTTCACAAGAGATATTTTAATCTTTTCTTTTTTCCTTTTCTTCTTTGCAGCAAGGCATGGGAATGAAATCCGAACCGTTGAAAAACCCGATGTATCCATCCTGACGGAAATACGGATTCACTGTAAAACCAAGGATCGGAAATTGGGATAGAGATCCCGAAAGTTAAAACTTGGGACGGATAACATGGTCCCTATCTTGCTCTGTCTCCGAATATTAAATATAGTTATTATTGAATATATCATTTATTAAAAATTAAATTTAATATTTTTTAGATTTAGAAATAGCATTTTAACATTTCTTCTTATATAAATTTTTTCCCGAGCTGTTTGACTTTCTTTTAGATAAAAAATGTAGAGACCCGAAATCGTTTGATCAAACAATTACATATGATTTTTATTCGCATATGAATATTTGATATTATATAAAAGAAGATTTTGAAAACGTGTGAGATTTAAACATAGATCAATATCAATAGAGTGTAGTGTTTAACACGTTTGATTTAAAATATCTTATATTAACAAAGAAAAAAAATCTTTGATTTCCTGTTGGAGATCCTCGTTCTCCATTGGAGATGGGGATGATGATATGATCATATCCCCCGGTAGAGATAAGGACGAAGATTGGGATCGGGATAAGGTCCCCATCCCATGCCTATTTACAACAAATAAATTAAAAGAAAAACTACAAATTTGGTTCATGTGGTTTGTCAAATATAACAATTTTTATTTATGCGATTTTAAAATTATAAGATAGTTTTAGTAGTTTGCAAAAAAATGTCTATTTTGGTCCTTCCTTCTAATGACAGTTAAAAAAACCCGTTAAATAAGATGGATTTTCGTTTTCTTATCAATTTCTTTGTCTTATCCAATCAAAATCGATTTTATAGCTTGATTCCTATGGTTTTTGATCTCGAGTAAAAGACAAGAAAATCAATAAAACCATGAAAAGGTCCCTTATTTAAAGGAATTTTTTAACGATCGTTAAAGAGAGAGACCAAATCCATACATTTTTTCAAACCATAATATGACTATCTTGTACTTTTAAAATTGTACAGATGGAAAGTGTTATTTTTGACAAACCACAAAAGACCAAATTTGTAACTGAATCTAAATAAAAAAGTAAACTACAATTTTTATTCTAGAAAAATATGAAAGTGGTCTAGATTTTTACAAAACTATAGAAATAGCAGTTATTATACATTTTGCTTTGATAAAGGGTAGGAGAAGGAGAAGGATAAAAGGTTGCCGATAACAATTGACGGTGAATGGAGTTGTAAAGATGAAAGTGGAATCTCTAAGATTGAAGGTAGAAAAAAATTCATTTGTATATTCATATATGAACTATTTTAACTAATTCACATATAAATCCGTGTGATTCATGTATGGAGTAATTAAATGATTCGCATATTAACTAATTTATTGATTCACACATGAACCCATGTGATTCATATATAAACTAATTAACTGATTCACATCTGAACTAACTAACTAATTCACACATGAACACGTGTGCTTCGCATATGAACTAATTAACAGGTTCACATATGAATATATAGTCTATATGTGTATCACATGGGTTCACATATGAATCAATTTGCCGTCTATTTGTAAAAGTTACGAAACTATCCATTTATCTTCTACATACTCATGTGAGAAATTATTCGGTACTTCACGATCAAAAAGCCACAAATGTTGATCAAATGAAGGGTTATGATCACCTTTTTACTTCTTAAATATTTATCACTTCTCAAATGAACCTTTTCCTATATCACATACTAGAGATGGACGTAAATAGGGGTTCAATTGTCTCATTGTGATGGACAAAACGGAACTTTAAATACAGTTGCTTAATGTTGAGGGGTGCTGTGAATTATTTCAAAACCAAGCTTATAAATATAAACTTGGAATACTAAGATGATGTTTGCTTTCTGAGCGGTCGTAGGTTTGACTTAGGGATGGACTTGGTTCAACGGTTATGGTGGCACATGCCACTGTTTCATTTCTCCATTGTAGTGTAAAAAGATTTAGCTTCATGAAAGGTGCAATCATATAAATGTCGTGTGCCACCATATACATTTTAAAAGTACAATAAGGACACAAGTTTTTTTTTGGTAGAGTTGGTTTGCAAGGCTTTTCTTCCACCCTAGACCCAAGTTCAAGTCTCGTTACCGTCATTTTTTTAGTTTTTAATTTCAAATTCATTATGTTTCTAAAGAAAAAAAATTACAATAAAAGACTTGGACTCAAGGCCTCACATATGAAAAGTAATAAACTAACCAACAGGCCAATTATGATGTTGTAAAAAGTATCACAATATTTGTTTCTTATAGTTAACGATGTCACCGCTTGAAAAAAAAATTGGATCCATCCCTGGTTCGACTTCCGTTTTTTGGTGAACATCCAGTTTTTCACATTTAAAATTTTGGTTTCTAATACATTTATGAAAATAATGAAGGAAAACAACAAGAAGAAAGGAAGAACCTGAAAGCAACAAACCAACTAATTTATCGTTAAACCACAAAGGTGGTGCCTGATTGGTTTGAGCTTGGCTCCAAAAGTCAAAAGTACCTAGAAGTCCCATGTTCAAATCCAAGTAGGAATAAAAATCCTCTTGTAGCTACAGAGGTTCAAATGCGGTGACTCCGGGATATCTACAAAGCAAGTGGTCGTCCTGGGATTAGTCGGCTCACATAACGGGTTGGATATCTAGGTTAATCAAAAATAAAAAACTAATTTATCATTATATTATGAAGAAAAAAAATTGTAGTTTTATGTTTATTGTCTAATTATGCAACAGTGTGGAAAAAACATCGAACTACCATTTTCCATTTTTTTGATGCACTTTTCAGTTCTTATTACACAATTGTACTTTCAAATTATTATTTTTAAAGTATTGTATTTTTAAAATTTTACCTATTACAACAATAGGTAACCGGATACCTTTTAAACCGGTCATCCCATTGTTTATTTAGGCTAAAGAAAGGTGCACCAATGACAGAATGTTGAAGCATACAAAATTTAAGAAAATTCAGAATTAGTTTCTTACATTCACCAAGGTGTCTGTATTGCACCTCGGTCACCATAGATGATTTCATGCTAGTGCTCATCCCTGTTGCATAAAAACAATAGGTATATGAGTAGAGCTATCGACCTATCCGGAGGCTCTTTCTTGCATCTTCGCTATGATATTTGAAGAAGCTCCGTTGTCGGCTGTTTCACCATTAATCTTTGATTCAGGTACGTAGAATCTGGTCTAAATTTAATCTGCTCACCATTGTCAACGTGATACAACCTCCATATAGAATTATGGATCGTGTCTGTCTGTAAGGACAATTAATAATCAGGAGCAAGCAAACATCCCTCTTTTATCTTTTCAATTATAAAAGCTTCATATATATACACACATATATGATGAAGGATCATGTGAGAATAGAAGTTAAGGTCAAAAGTGCCAGAAGGAATTTGAACTCTCGATCAACCTTTTAATCCCAAAACAACCCATGAATTGCACTTTAGAAAACAATTGATCTAGTATATCTTATTAGTGGTGATCTAGTGGTTCTCTCCAAATAGGATTGATCCAACGGTGGAGATCCCTTCTTACCCTTAAATTTCTATTCTCATAGGAACCGACCCAATATATATGTATATATATATATATAGAGAGAGAGAGAGTTTGTTTCAAATACAACCCATCGCATTTGTACTGCAATATGTTTATGTGTCATGCGTACGTAATAAGAACCCGTCAGAAGGAATGAATTGCCTAATGAATAAATGTATAATAAAAAACAGAAACCATGAAAAAAAACAAATGGACAAAGTTACCAAGGCATATGCTTAGTTTGCTGTATATAAATATTATATGGTTAAGAAAATAAAAGTAAAAACTTGACCTGTAAAACCGTACGACACGAGTGACCCTTTAACTGATTTCAAGCAATTTTCCTTTCCATTACCACTTACGTTTTAAGATTTGTTATAGTATGAAGCTCCAAAACCTGTTTCACACACTGTTGGGGGTACATTTGTCCTTCCAGGATAATTCTAAGGATAAATGGATTGCACGTGAATGAATAGAGAAGTCCACAACAACTACTTGTCTACTTCAAACTTATCCTTGGAAGATAGAAAATTAAGAAATAACACACACATACACTTTATATTTAATCAACCTTTATCATCACTGCACCACCATCAGTGCCAACATTATCACACTACTGCTGAAGTCCATAGAAGCCACCCCAACCCGTGATGCTGAATGCTGAACGTATCAAAACCGCATACACCAACACAAATAGGCATGAACATATCAAAAGCCCATACAGACCTTCAAGTCCTAGACATGAGTGCCTTAAGTAAAATAGCAAAATCTATTTACCAAAAATAAACATTAGATGAAAAAGAATAGTTTTGGTACACCTCATAAAAGAGAAGTTTTTGACCTCGCATGGTGTTAGATCTTAGCCCTCAACAGAAACTGTTTTGACTCATACATTCTCGGCAATTTGTCCACATACGTCCATTACCCTCCACCGACCAAACCACCCTTAACTTTTTCTGTTGAAAGGTTCCAAATTTTGCAACTAGGGGAAGATTTCAAAATCCTGACGGCACCTATTAATTGAAAAGCAGTTAAGAAAATCTCATCTTCTTCTCAACTGGTGTAACATCCAATTTCTAATATGCCCAAATTATTTGCTAAGTATATTTAATTATTAGGTTAAAGAGAATCTATGATTTCGTGGGAGTTGGGTTTGAAATTTTAGAATTATACTTCTTAGGAGTATATTAGAGGATTTGGGAAAATTTCACGTCAAATAGTTACGTAAAACTGATTTTCTTGGGAGATATTTTTTGGAATATTTTTGTTGGATGTTATAGATTATCTCTTTATGAACGTGTAGGCGAAAACCTCATAGAAAACGGAGGTCCRARSGA